GTGGAAAAGAGAAACGTAAAAGATCAGAGGAAAGAGCAGAGGAAAATAACGTGATGTCAGTGCGCATTAAGCAACAAACTGTTCAAGTTTCTGATCTATCAACGTTAACAGGAATAAATATTCAACCAAGTATAAAACTGTTTCTCAAAGTTTTAAAAGCTCTCCTTCAGTCAGCAGCACTCTCATATATGGCTGTGATGTGTGTGTGTCCCACTGCGTGAGACGCACACACACACACATGAACTTCTGTTCTTAAGCTGACTGAAAAACGTAACCACCATTGAACTGGATTGCTAATGCTAACGTGTGCAAACGGCTCTAAACACTAGTAAGGCCATCACAGTGCACTTGTCTGGTACATGATAAACGTTACTAAATGACTCATCATTAAAGCTCTTCTTGAGGGGGGGTTGCACTATGATATCACCGCGATGGCAAGGGAACTCCGCCCCGCTCCAAGTAGGGAGAGGGAGAGAGAAACACACTCACGCGTCCAAACCTCCAGCCAGGTGGTCGCTAAATAAAACTGCTACAACACCACAGAACCACGTCGGCATTACCTAATCCTATGACCAGTGTTCGTAAGAGCTACCGTATGAATACATATAGCCACAATGGCAAGCAGTTTTATAGACGAGGCATTCGGCATTCCCGTTGACCATTTGGACCCACAAACTTGCTTAGCTATAGTTTCAAGCAAAACACATATAGAGCATGCATTTAGCATTCGTGTTTGCACTTTCGAAGTGTATGGCAATATTTCAGCTAAGTTAAACAGTTAAAAGATGCTTTGAAAGTTTAAAACTTAGCATTGTGTTGAAGAGCAGGCTTCCAGCACTCTCTTAGTGGGGGAGGGGCTATGCATGGTCTGCACCCGCACTGCAGCGTCTGCAGCAACACGGAGCTGCCTGTGGACGCCTGTCTGTAAATAATGCCGGATCGGCGAACGCAGCAGCCCGTATCGGCCGATGCCGATACACGTAAAACACGCAAAAATCGGCCGATAACATCGGCTGGCCGATAACCTTATTGACTCCCCAAAATAAAGGTCTGAGAGCTCCGGGTTTTAGTCTCTCCAGTGATCCAGTTGATATATTTTAAGTATTCAGATAAAAGCAACAGTGCAGGAATTGCTTTTATTCTCTCCCAGTGTCTGCCTCGCCTCTGTCAACTATAATTATAGAGCCGTCATAGCATCAATCCTGAGCTCTCAGAAACACATTTAAAAGCCGGACTGTATCCATAACTACCGCCCAGACCGCCGGTGTCAGGAAATATTTATGTGTGCGGGAGAAATAGCTCCTGTCAGGACCACGGGTCGAGATAAAGGTGAGAAATAATGTGCATGTGAGGAGGATAGATGGGCAGACAGAGCATCAATCAGACAGACAGGTAGATAGACGCAGGAGGCAGAGACAGGTACACTGTGAAAATGTCTGGAGATTTTACAGTGAAAACCTGTCAAACTGTGACAGGAAAAGACCATAAACTCTAAATAGGTTAAAGTTTCTGTAACAGTAAAACACCGTGATATCTCACAGAAAAACATTTATTTTATACAGCATTTTAATGGAATTTATACAGTTTAAAGTCGTGTTTTTATATTACAGACTGTAAATTGGACAGATTATAGCAGAGTTCACCTGTATTTATAGCTCATGTCATTGTTTTAACAGTGTAAATATTTTTAATTAAACATAAAAAAGACAAAAAATGACAGATATAAATAATCAGGCTTACATTTACAGCATTATTATTAGATTTTTCTTATTTTAATGTGAATGTTAAAAGTTATAGAACTGTAATAAAAGTCATTATCTGTGAAATTACAGTAATTATTGCTGTTTACACTGATAACAACTGTATTTTGACACTGATAAACAACATTTATTCAACGTTTGTGTTGTGAAAACTTCCATCATTATACAAGATATCTGTCAATTAACAAAAAAAATACAGAACAAATACTTTCTACTTTTAATCTCACTAATCATCATTTTATTAATGTATTAACAGTATTAAACTTGAATTTAACAGATTAATCTTTTAAATGAACAGTAACTATCTGCAAAAATATAGATATATTTTAATCTTTAAATGTGAAAGGAAAATAAAATTAAATAAGCAGTAATTTTATGATTACTTACAGTTACAGATTTTATATTGGACATGTAAATTCACAAAAAATACAGATAAAAATCTGTAAAATAAACAGGAAACAACATGTAAACGTTCTTTTGATGGTAAAAACTTGTATTTATGTGGTGAAATATGGATTCAAACTCAACAGTACTAAGATCATTTTACCAGAATAGTAGAAAAAGTATTTATTATATTGTTTTGTTGTTTTTACCATACTTTTATTTTTTACAGTGTGGACAACCCTCGCAGGAATGCCTTTGCATAAAAGCCACAAGAACACAAGGGTGGTGTTAAAAAAGTTAAAAGAGAAAACCTAATTAATGTTATCTGAGTGTCCCTGTGGAGGAGAGTTGAAATTAAATTAAATTAAATCTCTGTCTGCTCGGCGGAGGGAGTGAGAAAGTCAAACACTGATACTGCCTCACAGGTGTGCTCCTATAGGCCTGTGAGGAAGTTAGAAAGCGGCGAGGAAACATAATGTTTCTGCGAGGAGAAACTGTCGGCGCTTGCACATAATTACGGTGGAATGTGTGTCTTGCTCTGTGTGTGGGAAACTCTGTGATGAACCAATCAATTCTCGTCAGCAGCGGTGATTGCCACGAGGCCGGACTGCCCAAAGGCTGACCCCAGGTACCCCACGCACTAACCCCCCACACCCACAGAGGTCACAGCAGCAGCCCAAGCACAGTTAGCATGGATATGATAATGTCAGAGAAAGGCTTTTGTCTGATCGCCTGTTAGTCTGCAGAAGTAATTATAACCACTGAAACATGGTTTCATTATTTTTAGTGAAGCAGCAGTTGGTTGAGAAACTGATTCACACAAGAATCTCAAGAAATATCTTATAATATATAATTTGTCTATATGTATATACATTTTTGTTTAACACGGTATTCCACCCTACTAATCTGAATTATGTGACTGTACTGTGAGGAAAATCTGCATTTTGAGGGTTGAAAATGTCTCAACTAGCCTTTTAAATCAGCCTGAACCTAAACTGCTAGCTTAGCTACACCACAGCTGTTAGCTTAGCTACAAACAGGTAGCACACAAAAACTTTTGCCGTATGGTGTCCTGTAGTAAATGTATGTTTTTTTGTAATTTACCAAGTTGCACATTCAAGCATTTTCACATGTCGTCATAAAGACCTTTAAGTCTAGTTTATTAATCCAGATTTATGATCTTTCCATAACTTTAACGGCCTAAAGCGTCTCTGCTTTATTATAAATGAACATCGTGCTGTATGGAAGAAGAGAGAGTGAGACTCTCATCAGGAAACTCATACATCCGGTTCTCCACTGTCCTCTGTGGACTCAAAGATCTGATAGATCTTCTGCATAAACAGCCAAAGATCATTAGTCACCAGAATAAAAACTTCCAAACTACACTTCACATGTTTGGTCAAAGGTAGCAGAAATTGGGGGTTCAAATTTGATTTAACTTGATCTGAGATTTAATTTTAGATTTAATTTAAAGGAGATTTGATTTATCCTGCGTGATGGGACACAAGTGGATATTAAACCTGCAGAGAACTCCCCAGAACATGTCTGTATCTTCAGATATAATTACATCTTTATTAAATGAACAAAGCTGTGTGTAACTGAAAATGACATCTACTGTAAAAACCCTGTTCCCGCTCTACAGAGTCCCTGACACGTGAGTGCGATACAGGTTGTATGAATTAATGAAGGGAGATAAGACAAAAGCATTCTGGAGAGCTCGCTGCCTGCAGGTCAGACTCAGCTCGAGTGGTAAAGTGCCTCCAGCCGACTGAAGACAGTCTGACTGCAGCTGCAAACATCATGTACTCAAATAATGCTCCACTTTAATTAATTCTGTGCTGCTTCTGCAGAAAAACAGACAAAATGTCCACATCAAAGGAACTGCTTCTAAATGCTGCACACCATTCAGGCTTCCTCTGCACGGCAAGAGCAATCTACAACGCTGGTTAGCTAATATCCCAGCAGAGGAGCCAGATTATTGTCCTGAAGAGTAAAACCACTCACACAACTGCTCAGTTGTCGTCTTTTTTTAATAAAAAATTATAAATATAAGAATGTTTCTGGAGCCTTCATTTAACACAAAGTCACTTATCTTTATTATTCTGTTTGAAGAAATTCTGTCTTCTTGTCAGAGTTTTTGCCAATTCTTGAATTCAGCTAAATAAAGTGACCAAAATACTGATTTAAAGAATCTTAAATAACTGAGTTTTTATTCCTTGTAATAAGCAAAATGGCCCATTGCTATCTATCTATCTATCTATCTATCTATCTATCTATCTATCTATCTATCTATCTATCTATCTATCTATCTATCTATACTAGTTGTAAGAACTAAAGTGGTTAACCACACTGGCAGATGTTGTTCTGTTTCTAGAAGGGCTGTTCTTGCAGTGTGGAGTTGAAGTGTGATTCCTTTTCAGAATCCTAACTGAGTCAAATGTGAACTCACAGACATGAATTAATATCATTCAGTGTGAGTTACACTTCCTGAGTATATCAAAGTCTCTGATGTGCATCCAGAATAAGAAATCCCCCAAAATCCAACAGGAAAGGCCACATCGCTTTCTGGCTGGACTGCTGATGCAGACCCTGATCTTGACCGTTCTAGACCGATGGTTCCCTTTCATACATTGACTGTTGATCCAGTCTGAAGCCACATTGTTACCATCCACTGTTTAGATCTTGGTGCTTTTTAACTCTAGATTTGAACCGGATGAAGGATTTTAGTCATCGGACGTCTGGATCTTAAGTTATCAGAGAAACAAGCTGAGCTAACGTTAGCAGCAGCTCGGCTCGCAGCCCCTCCGGGACGTCCTTTGTCTGTCCAACAGCGTGGGAGAAGCAGTGATTGTTAAGGTGGAACTGCTTTATTCAGTGTGTTTAAGGTGGAACTGCTTTATTCAGTGTGTTTAGTGGTTTTAATCAGCGGGTCTGTTTGTGTTGGAGAGGAGGAGACCTCTGTGGATCATTGGGCTCCCGGTAGAAACCTCCTGAACCATGAACACTGAAGGAATCCTAACCGGGAGAAGCTGACTGCAATGACGCCAATGATGGTGAAGACAACAACCCCCATGATCCCACGCTGCTTCACCACCTCAGAAGTTTCACTTTAATGCTGTTTTTCTCTTCCAGCTGAGCATGTTGACATGAAAAAGGGTTCATAATGGCGATTCAACCGACACCAACAGATCAAGAGCAGTATATTTAACATGAGGTTAACGATGAAAGTTATTTAAGCTTATTAAAGTAATATTCAGATGTACAGAACATAAACATGATGTGATGGAAATATAAGATAATAATGCAAAGATCAAATTAAAGTAACCAGCTTTAAAGACGGGTTATGTATTATATGATTACATTTTTTCAATTAAATTCAATTCAGTTTTATTTGCATAGCACCAATTCATAACAGAAGTTATCTCAGGACACTTTTCAAATAGAGCAGGTCTAGACCGAACTCTTTATAACATTATTTACAGAGACCCAACAGTACCACCATGTGCAAGACCTTGGAGACAAGGGCAAGGAAAAACTGCCTGTTAAAAGGCAGAAACCTAGGAGAGATCCTTCGGCCATTTACAGGGTTGTATAGTGAAATTTAAAATATAGTTCCCTTTATGCTACTTAGGGTTATAAAAATAATTATAAAAAACTAATTTGTATGATGTAGTGCAGGAAGAATTTAACAGTTTATATTTTTATGTTTAATCTAGTCATTTATTTTTGAATTTTGCAATGTTGGTCCTCCATACAAAGAACCTAATGTTTGAATAAACAGCCTGATTAATTTATTGCCAAATAATTTGTACCTGACTGAAACACTGTGCACAGTTTTCCAGGAGCTGATGAATAAATATACTTTGAAATAAATATAAAAGGTTACTGGAGGATTATTTATATTATTTATTATCATCACATCTGAGCAAATGAGAGTTTTTTCATTCACAGTCGGATCATGTTTCTCTGAGCTGCAGCGACTGAATAAGCAGAAAAAGTATTTCAAATGTTAATGTGATTCTGTTATGAAAGAAATGTTTTCACACAGTTCAGTCAGATAGACAGACACACAGACAGTATTGGTAACTGCAATTGAAACTCACTCACATTACTACATGTAATATATGTGTGTAAGTTTATTAACTGTACTTTAGTACAACATATGTTACCTTTACCTTTTATTTAGTCCACTCTTTGCAGGTTAAAGATCAACTACGATTCGTCGCTTTCGTTCTACGATTTGTTTTTCTGTTAATTGAAGCTGTATTGAAAAAAGGTTGAAATATTTTTCTGATTATTTTCAGTAATAACGACTTTAAATCCCGGTAGCCACAGTGATCAGAAAGCAATCTACTGGAGCTTTTACAGTCACTAGAAGCACAGTCATGCTGTTTGTAAAAGTTTCTGTGAGCTATCTGTTTTGTAATGTTAGCTAAGATAGCAGCTCAGAGAGGCTAACCCTCAAATCCCCCCCGAGTGAGTCCTTCTGACCGACGTTATTGATTTGTGTATTTTGTCCTTAAAAAGTAAAAAACAAGCATGTTCAAACCTCCTCTGAGTGACTTCCTGTCTGGTGCCACAATGTTGATGCAGCGTCAAATTCCATCTACAGAATCTACACAAGGTATTTTATTTTGAAATTTTCTGAAAGTTTCTCTGTCTGACTTGTCTACTTTTGGAGTAACGGTCTGGTACCTGTAGAGTGTGTAATGGCTAATGGCTATGTAGCAGGAGTGGAGACGTTGGTTTTATAGCAGCAGGGGTTGGTTAGTGACGATCTGCCAACAGCTAAATTTAATCGCAACAGCCAGTTCCAACCAGTAGAGGGCGGTCACTGTGTGTATTTATAGCAAAATATGAAACCCTTTGCACTAAAATGTCCAGACTTTGACCTAAATCCAAACATATTCTGTGTCTACAGTCACATATTCTTCAGCTTGATGTTTGTAGGTGGACAGTGTTTGTGTCTTTGTGAAGCTGCACATCATTCACACACATCCTGTTGGTTCAGATAAACAGCAGACTGACTGACTGGTGTGGATTGGTGTTTAGCAGAATATTAACCTCTGGCCTAACTTCCCTCCCAACGAGCGCTGGTTCCTCCTCTAACGACCGCGGCTGTAATTCAGTTCATTCTGCAGCTCCGTAATTGTCCCCCCTCCTAATGTTGTCCAATCACTCTATCACTGATGTATCCTCCTGACTTCACCTCATTAATCAGTGTTAATTATAATTGCCTTTTCTAGTGGTGGCTGTAATTGAATTAGAGACCAAGGTAAAAGAGGTCAGTGCTGCAGGAAGTTCAGGTTGCAGAGAGAGAGGAGGAATAGTAATGACCGAGTGGAGGGCGTGTAACGGGGAGGATGATGAGAGGGAAAATCATGACAGACTAATCCCGGAGCTGTCGGAGAGTTTGCTGTTCATTGTGTTGTAAAAGTGATTTCCCAGCAGACTGCGTCTGGTTCGGGTTGTCGCGTTTCCTCTGCTTAATTTTCACACTCGGGAACATTTTCTTTTTAGCAAAACAGAATGTCCGACTCTTTGATAATTTCATCCACATGTTTGCTTCTCGCTTGTGTGAATTTAAACCAAACTCAGCTAAAAAATATATATATATTCTCAGGATCATTTATATTTACAGCCACATGTTCACACACACACACACACACTGGTCACTATGCAGGACGCTGTAGTTCCCTCCAGCACAGTCTGCAACCTGCGGCTCTTCAGCTCTTTCAGTCAGGGGTATGTCCACACTTTAACTGGCAGGGGGGGACACTGACTTCTGCAGGGGTGGGATGAAGCATGTGTTCCAGCTTTCCTTCATTCCCAGTTTATACAATTCCAACATTGTTTATTGACCCCAGTCTGCAGAAATATTCAAATACACTAAAATAACACATTACATATTTATACCACATGCAAAAGCCTGTATGAGATTAGCATAAAGTGTCTGTAAAGAGGAGACTCGTGGGTACCCATACCTGCTACAGTTACACATAATATATTACTGGATCCAGTCACACCTTTCAATCCCAGCCGAAGCTGCCTTAAAGTAAATTAATACATTCATTATAGATCCTCATATTTGATTTTTCTGCCTATTGTATGTCTGTGTTTGTAGTTCTGTATTTCCTCAATGCATCAACATATTCACATTCTGTGTTTCAGACACGCTGATGAACCTCCTGCACACCTTCACACCAAATCTGGAATCAATCCGAGCTTGCATTATGAAATTACATGAGTTCAGGTGGATCGTCTCCCATTTGGCTTTGCTCTGTTTTTATTCACAATATCCGTCAGTTTAACCACTTTTGCAGTGAAATATTTTAATAAAAGAATCCATTTCATATATGTTGGAGACCTTGGAGAATATGAAAAACATTGTGGTGCTTTGTTCTGCCTTCGGTGGGGGTATGACATCATTTTGGGTTCCTAGTAGTCCAGAGTCACTGTACAGCTGCAGTAATTCTACTAACATTAGGAACTCCAGCTTTAACTGACCTCCGACGTCTTGCTCACTTTGATCCACTCAACAACCTCAATGTGTCTGCAAGTGATAGAAAAGCTCCGACCTGCAGGAAGTCTTATAAATAGACTAATACACAAACGTCTTCCCTGCCACAAATACCTGTGTACAGCGCCGATACAGAAGAAAGAATTAACTGATGAATTTGCGCTTCAGCCCCTCAGCGTGTTACAGGAGCTGTTATCTCAAACAGCTCGTGTGTCTTGTGATGTAAGGACGACTGTTTTACAGCCAAAACCCGCAGCGGCTGTAAAAACTCTCCCAGCGTCTAAAACCTGGCAGCGGCCGACGCTCTGCTGCAGGCGACGATTTCAAGCAGATCCAGGCAGTATGTGCAGAAACCCTCCGTAAAGCACGCTGAATTATAATGAGCTGAAACCAGAGCCAAGGCTGCGTACTGAGCCAAAGTGCTGCAAACACACTGAAAGAGTCTGATTGATAACTGATCAACAGTGGAAGACACAGATATACACACTGTTAAATATTTAATACGTAACATTACTTTCACAGTAAGTAACTGTGTATTACAGCTGACTACTGTGATATATTATAAACTGTATTATGTTCCTGTAGAATTACTGTATTTAACTGTAAAAGTTCTGCACTCAGCAGCCAGTAATGTGCGATACAGGCACAGTATTTATTATTTTCTGTTCACTCAGTAAATATGATGAGCTGGATGGAATCTGTACAAACATTATATTTCGTACGTATATGCCTCCGGACAGCAGCAAGGATCTATTGAAACTGAAGGAATTATTATTTTATTCCCCAATTAATCACATTTCTCGTGACTGAAATTCACTCAACAACTCAGCAACTTAGCTCGTGTTGTACTTTAACAAAGTCATTCAAGGAATCGATCTGATCGACTTTAAATTTGGTCAGTGTCATGTTATGAGTGGTGTGACTTATCATTGAATGCTGTTTACATTGAGACGCGGCAAATGTCGATATTTTTCATTTTTAACATTTTGGGGTGGTTTTGGGATTCTAAACATTCTCCAAAACTCCTTAAACTTTGTACACGTGTCCCAAATGCAAAACTTCACATCTGATCTGGATCTTGTACATTGATGTGGCAAAATGGCTCCATAGCGCCCCCTGGAAAACTTCAACAAAGCAGTCCTGGCAGCCCATTTCATCTAAAATGATGAAAATCGGTAGGTATACGTATCATACCAAGATGTACAAAAAAAGCCTCTTGGAGCCATATCCTACACCCAACAGAGAGTCAGTCATTTTGAAATGAATGTGCATTTTGGTTTGTATTTTGTATTTGTTATGTTAAACACAGGAACACAAAAGCATAACACAAACTCTGAGTCTGATGACTGAA